AACTACAAATACAATATTAAAATGTTTAAGAGTTTAAAATTTGAACAAAAATGAAAACAATTAATTTTTTAAATTGCATACCTCTTATAACACATTTTTATAAAAATTAAAGTTTGTGACTCTAAAAGTTAACCATCAAACTAAACAATCAACATAATATTTTATTTAATTAATGTCTACCGTAAAATATATATGAAATTAAAGAAAGGTGAAGGAAAATGTAGGCTATTTCTCAGCTTCTTTGTACAAGTTCTTTGGCCATAATTCTGGGATCATGAATTAGAACAATGCAAGGAAATGGTTTTTTATCTCTGCTGGGAAACAAAATTCACTGGAAAAGAAACTACTGAGCTTCTATTACCTCAGAGGATTTGACAGGTTAATTAATTTATCCTTTCTCTTTCCTAAATCTTTGGGTCATTCAGTTCCTCTTGTGTTTCTAAGTAGCCCTACCGTTTCCAAAAGAAAAATCATTAGCTTTTCAAGGGAGCTAAGAGGAAAAACTGAGCCAAGCTCTCGTTCCAATGGCTATACATATGGTTAAGAAGCCATTTGTTTGAAGCATTAAAACTTCAGAGTAAGGATCTGCAAATGAAATAAATAATTCCCTGGTCTGAAGGTAACACTTTGCAGTTCAAGGATGCAAATAAGCCAAACAGGACAAGAGTGAGGTTGATAGTAAAGATGTAACTATGTTCCCAACTAAAATCCCCTAACATTCCAGAGATGCACCATATTCCCCTCCTAGGGGTAGGCAACCCTTCAGGGATCTCCCTTTCCTAATCCACTCACTTTGGCTTCCTAATAATGCCATCAGCTTCTCTCACTCTTCCTCATATTTGGAGATACTGTGACAAAATTGGTTTCATGTTTGAATAAGAATGTGCTTTCTGATGACCAAAGTCTTCCCTGTCAAGAGGACGTGACAATGTGTTTTAGTTTAGTATTTATAGTGGCAAAGGCATCTCTGTTTATATTCCTGTTTTGAAGAATGACAAATGGCACAAAATATTTCTCCTAAAATGCCTAGTTAATTGTCAACTGGTTTTTCTTCAACAGTTGAACGACACTAAACCATTGGAAAAAAACTTCAAAATATTTCTTTGCATTTTGACCTACACTTGTAAAAGCTATAAAGAGCAACATTTTTAAAGAATTAGTTAATGTTTTAAATATTCATATAAAACACAAACTAGTAAGAAGTATACATATTTGGAACCAAATAGGCATGAGCTCAGATCTCATTGCTATCACCATAGCTAAGTGATTTTGAGGGAGAGTATATGCTTTTTGAGCCTTGTTTCTTCATTTATAAATGAGATAGTTGTTCATAGTGCCACTGTGAAAAATTACAGATGCAATCACTGTAGAATGCCTAGCACACAAACATCTGAAGAAACAAAAGCAATGAGATATAAGTAGGAGAGAATTGTTAAAACATACAGTACTCAATTAATTCTTCAATATATCAAGCACATGCCTTAGCATATGCAAGGCATCTGGGTAAAGAGCTTAGGACTGAAAGGCTGATATTTTGCAAAGGACCTTAACATTTTTTATGGTCATAAACACACATACATATATATGTATATACATATATGTATATATAATATATATTTCTAATATATATATATTAGAAATAGGGTTGTGTGTGCAAACACAAAAAAAATAGAAGAGCTAAATAAGTTTGCTTGGGGAGTTTGGAAATGCTTCATAAGTCAATAAATAATTGACCTTCTGGATGAGCAGAAGTGTGGTGGTTTGAATAAGAATGGCTCCCATAGACTCATATATTTAAATACTTAGTCACCAGGACATACAACTATTTGAAATGATTTTAAGGATTAGGAGGTGAAGGTGTGGCCTTGTTGGAGGAAGTGTGTCACTGGGGGTAGGCTTTGAGGTTTCAAAAGTCCAGGCCAGTCTCCACCCCCTCCATCTTGCTGCTTGCTAATAAGGACACAGGAATCTTAGCTACTTCTCCAGCACCATATCTGTCTGTTTGCCTCAGTGCTCCATACCATGATGATAATGGACTTAGCCTCTGAAACTGCAAACAAACAACCAATTAAATGCTTTAATCCTATAATAATTGCTTTGGCAAATGGATGGAATTAGAAAAAAAATGTCATCCTGAGTGAGGTAACCCCAACTCAAAAAAAAAGGATGAATATGGCTTGTATGCATCCATATGTAGACATTAGCTCACAAGTAAATGATAACCAATGTATGGTTTATAGACACAGAGAGGCTAACTATAAAGGAAAAGACTGGGGGACACATGCATCTCCCTGGGAGGGGTAAATAGAATAACTTTGTAAGTGGATTAGAGAATGGGGATGGGAGGATAAGACGCGGGAGGGAGGGAAGACAGGGTTGAGGGAGGGAATGTGGATAGCACTGAGGGGTGGTACAGAAATCTAATGAAGTGCAATCATGCTGAAATATGTGAAAGCAATTACAGTGATGGGCCCAAATAATGGGAGACACAGAGTCCCAACTGGCCATTTCTTGTCGCCAAATAAAGCTTCCAGTATAGGGACTGGGTTATACTCAACTGAATTTTTGGCCAAAGAGGTCCCGTGGACATCCCCAAACAACCAAGGTTATTGCCTGGACTACAGGCTGTTCTCCACACACTGACAGTAAGAACCCATTGTGGAAGACAACTACACAAATTCATGGAACATGGAGAGCTTGAGCTGATGCTGACATAGAACCTTCACCCCTAAGTTCTGGGGGCTTTGGTATGGGAAGGTACTTGGCAGGTTACCAAAAAAAAAAAATGCAAATACCAACCCAGCCACAAACCCTTTGATCTTCAATGTTGTCCCACCTGCAAGATAGGCTAGGGCAGGAGTGCCACAAAGCTTGTGGGAGTAACCAACTAACATCAGAGTAGACTTAAGATCTACTCTACATGATGGAGCCCATACCAAACACTGGTTGGATGACCGAGAACCAGAGACTAGATAGCCATAATCCAGGGTTCTGGCATAAAACCAAATACTGTCATTTAAAACACAAAGCAGTGATAAAATGACTGCTAATGATATTCTGTTAGACTCATAGATCAGTGCCTTGTTCAGGCGTCATCAGAGAAGCTTCCTCCTACAGCAGATGAGAAAAAGCACAGTCAGCACTATGCAGAGTGAGAGACCTCGGAACACACAGCTCTAAATGGGATGTCTTCACTCAACCCCTACCTGTAGTGCTCAGGGAACCCCTTGGAAGAGGAGGTAGGAAAGTAAGAGCCAGAGTACATGGGAGATACTAGGAGAACAAGCAAACCACAGTGTCCGTCGGGTTTCATCGGGTCTTCTACATATATATTAAAAGCTTCAGTTCAGTTTAAGATTTTTTTCTGTGTGTGCAAACAAGTAGATCTCTGGTACTTACGCCTTTTCTTGGGCTTTTTTCTTTCTCTTGATGGTTTTTGTTTTAACTTACTATATTTTATATGTTACATTTTGTTATTATTTCTTAAAAGCATGTTCTTTTCTAATGAGAGTCATAAAGTGGATGGAATCTGTGTGGGAAGGGAGGTGGGGAGGAGCTGGGAGGAGTAGAAGGAAGAGAAAGTGTAATCAGGATATATTGTAAATCTATTTTCAATAAAAGGGGGCGGGTAGAGTTGCCATGGTCATGGTGTCCCTTCATATCGATAAAAACCCTGAGTAAGGTCCTTAAGTAAGACTCTTATCAGTAGAGAACATTAGATCAACAGGCTAATTTTTCAACAGCTCTAACTTCCATCAAAGAAAATTCCAGTTGTCAGATACACGATTTTTGATGGGTTGCCTATAAGAAAGAATGGATTAGAGCGCCTCTGTACAGTAACATTGGTTAGAACATGTGCTTTGTTTGAAATGTCCCACCACTGAGGGCAGACGAGAAACCACAGAAAGAGCTGTTACTTTGAATCTAAGACTCATGATTTCTAGCTCTTGCTTCCCCATAATTTCTGTGATGGGTTGCCCTTTCCAATGGGAACATCCTGGGATTATTCTAAAAATTACTTTCCGTTAATAACAAAACGGTGTTCAATTTTAGAAGCTGAAAAGAGGATACGCAACTTCTCTTTAGAAAATATAACCCTCAAACCTTGTAAAGTGGTGAACGAACCATCCAAAGCATTTGAATTGAAATAAAAGAGAGCAACAGGACACAGCTAAAGTGCCAGCGAGAACTGGGCAGGAAAGAGGGAAAACATCTCAGGCAAAACTCCCATCGAGTCTACTGCTAATTACATCCACAATGGTGGATGGAGAAATGACTCAGCAGTTAGGAGTGCTTACTACCTATAGAGACTCTGGGTTGGGTTCCTATTGCCCACATTACGTGGTTTACAACTTCCTATAATTCTAGTTCCAGGTATCCAACACCCTCTTCTGGCCTCCAAAGGCTCCTGCATACATGAGGTTCACATAAACTTAATGCTAGCACCCACACATGATAATTAATATATATACTTTAATTTATATATATAAACACAAACACACACACATATACATCTATAATTTAAGTTTTAAAAGAAACATAAACTCCTCAAATGCCTATCACAGATCATCGAGGAATAAAACACTCTTGCCATGTGTCTGGGAAAACTGCCCAAGTGCAACAGCTACTTCTAACACAGTTCCTCTGCAGCAAGGTGCGGGTGGAACCTAGTCGCCATGGTTGTATAGGTGGAAAGGGATCCTTGAGATAGGATGACAAACTTCTAATGACACAGGAACCATACTCATTCAGGAATGAGCTCGTTGTATGATTTAACACCCCTGGCACCTCTTAAAAATGGATTCATCAACCACACAGTTTACACAATGACTCAAGGCCACAGAAAGAAATCCTATTTACTCTCAGTATTCTTCTGTTACTGTAATCGTCCAAGATTTCACTGATACTTAGGTCCCTGTGGGGTGAAGTTCGAATTAGTGAATAGTTCTTTAGTAGACTTCCATTTCATCAAAGGTAACTATTTATTTTAATCCACTCACCATTCCGTGGTTCAGCCACCCTGGGATAAAGTTGTCAAGCAATTTTGGGTATATCATCTCTCTGTCGTAGGCATAGATGGTCCAGAACACGGCGACAACAAACTGGAAGGGAAAGGAAATCTTCTGTTTTAAGTTCATCTTTTACAGCACATAACTGGTTGGTTATTTGTTTTAAAAACCCAAGAGTTTTGAAATTTATGCTGTCAGAAGCAAACCAATGATTGACTAGCAAAACAGTTCCCACTTCACTCTGTAGTGTTAACCACAGGGTTGTCAAGTCCCCTCTCTGGTTTCCAACTATGTTCTTTCAGGGAGAGGAGCCTGCCTGAAAGGGAGAGAGAAACAAAGTGTTGTTAGGAAGAACACCATCTCGGGGCTAATGGTGCCAGTCTGATCCCTCTCCATGGGGTTTATACATTCACTTAGGGATATTTGCAAACAGGTCCCATTCCCCAATAGGAAGAGCACACATCCCAAACAACGCTACGCCTGTCTTCCTTGATCCAGTCACGTGGTTTCGTGTTTGCTTCTCACCAGTACCAGCACTGAACCCTTTGCCAACCACATGTCTTCTGGTCACATTACAGAGAAATGCATTAGTGCATACAGCCTAAGCCAAGGCACAGAGACACTGGGAAGTAGAGTGGGTGAAGGGGAAAAGGAAGATTCTGAATTCCCTTGGAGTAACTTAACTTTGAAGTTTGTCTGAATTACAGAAGTTTCTTTGGGCCGAATAGCAGCACAGTAATCCAGAGAGAGGAGTAGCAGTATTTATTTGATTTATTATTTCACCATTCTTCAAACGAACAGTGAGAAATAAAGTTCAGATTAAAATAAAGCAATGGAAGGCCCATGGTCTTAGCCATCGGTACAGAGATTAACAGATAATTTTTTGTAAATTAGACACACACACCTATAGAGAGTGATTTTTAAAATCCTACAGAATTAAAACAATGCAGAATGAATATAAATAATTTTGTTTCAATTTTTATAATTTTATAATTTAGGTTATCTGTGCTCCTTTAATGCAAATAATAAATATTTTAATTCTACTTTAAATAAGATTTTAGGTTATACCTGGTAGCACAAGACTAGTAATCAAAAGGTCCCAAAATTCTTTCCCAACTCTGTTTGCTTTGAAATCTGGGTAGTTTTCTCCTTTGAAACCTAAGGTGATGCAAATATTTATTATTTTATAAAATGTAAAGATTAATTATTACAGAAGGTGACTAAATCTCTGTGCATTGTTTTAGAACCAGAGACATCCCCCACAGTTATTTACCTTGCTTACATGAACATTTATTTTACTATCTGCTTTCAAATGTATAACAGTAAAACAAAATAGAAAATTAATTCTTAGCTCAAGGAAAATTATGTTAACTCTTCAAGTACAATGAGTAATTTTTAACTTATCCATGATTTTGAATTATTCGCCATCTTATATTTCAAATGGACTGGCTATTCATAATAATTACACAAAGTAGATATTTGGTAGCTATTTTTGAACTTTTTAAGTGACTTATTTATTTTCTATTTTATGTGTACTGATATTTTGCCTGTGAGCATTTCTGTGTAAAAGTGTCAGATCTCCTGGAACTAGTGTTACAGGCAGTGGTGAGCTACCATGTGGGCACTGGGGATTGAACCCAAGTCCTTTGGAAGAGCAACCAGTGCTCATAACTGCTGAACTCTCTCTGTGCTCACTGTTTTAAAATTTAGTACATTACCTGTCAACATTATCACCTTAAAGTAGGCAGTAATAGAGATATTTTTGTTTATCCATGCTACAAATGGAGAAACCCCAATATTTTCATTTTTGCTTTAATGGTATTTACTGGTATATAAGATTTGACAAACACGGAATGGACTCTCATAATAAACATTAGTTCTGATCTCATTAATTCTGCTAATAATGTAAGAGAATCTGCAAAACAATTACTTTACCTCTTCATTATGAATAAAGAATGCTGAGGAAAGACTGCAACTATGCAGATAGATAGATGATAGATAGATAGATAGATAGATAGATAGATAGATAGATAGATAGATAGATATAGATTCCTGTAACAACAGTAAAAAGTAGGTCATTTCTCCCCCAAATGATCTTCAAATTGGTAGTCTAGATAGTTTGGTAATGTAAGATCCAGACTGTAAGAACAAGGTGATCCTGGGAGCAGGGAGGAACAGTGGAAAAGGAATCCTATTTATAGCTGGGTTGGGAGGGATGGGAGAAGACTAAGAAGTCTTTTAAAAATGGGTGGGGTGGGGATCTAGGGAGGCGGGTAGAAGTCCAAATACATGGATGATAGAATAAATGAAAAATAAAGCCCACAAGACAAATGAGTAGTTGCAAATGAATCCCCTTCTCTACTGCAAGAGGAAGCTGGCAACAGGGCGTGGCCTGAGCCCAGAATGGCGATGATCTGAGGCCCCTGGAGTGGATGACGTGTGAGGATGTTTGTCACTGAGAACATGGAAAAGGAAGACTCAGATGGCCACCAGGGCTCCCCTGAGACTTGATGACATGTTTTTCTAGTAGAAGCAACCTGGATATTTCCCAGGGCTGTGAGGTCTGTGAGAAAGAATTCAAAGGGAGGATGCCGGGGGTTTCACATTGCTGCAAGTTAGATGGCTGAGAAGATCTGAGATGAAGAAGCTGTGAGAATGGGGATATCCTTTCATGACCAATCAGCTTTTCAAAACTGCTACTTGGGGAGTGAAAGTTGCCAATAAGTTAAGTGAGAGGCCTTATATGAAACCATTTTCAAAACCAGACTCTCAATGAAAGACAGAACTTTTCTATTTTCACTTCGTTCTTTCTGTATATATTTGACAACTGAGTGGAAAAAAGAATCCAAATATGGTTGATTTAATGCTCCAGTGCCAGGGATGTAGTTCCAGGTCCACAGCCATGCTACTCCTAAACCCAGGCACATGTTTTACAGCCTGGATATTCAGTGTGGTCCATGAATCAACAGCACCCACATTCAATCTGCCAGACATGTGAGCCCTAGGTCTCACCCTGCAACAATCTGATCCTACATTTTATTAAGATCTTGAGGATGTTCCTGCTTTTACAGCCATCTTCTACCACCGTGTGTTTCCTGCCTTCCTGACAGAGTGTTATCTCAGGTCCTACAGCTTCTCATTCAGAACCTCCATCATTCTCTTTCTGGGCAGGAGCTTGAAGCAGATGTTCACACTTTCTCCACAGTCAAGAGCTCCTCCACCCCAAGGAGCAGTGAATATCACGGAAGTCGAGACATAGAGTATATAAGAGGATGAAGAGAAATAATATGAAATGCTGTCCTCTGCATATGACATATGAGTGTTTAAACACACACACGAGCTTGGTTTGCTACACAAGACTTGTATAATATCAAACCAGTTAAAGTTCTCAATTGGGTCAGCGGAGAGGCAGTGGAGGCACTAACTTTGGCTGAGTAACCATTGGTAGTTGAGGGCAGCTTGGGGAGAGACACTCACTTTCCCTCAGAGGATATGGCAACTAGTATATTGCCCATGACCAGTGATTTGTCCATGCGAATACCAGCCACACAGCACTAACAGGACCAAGGAGGAGGATATGAAACTGGGAGAGATCTCTGCTACATGGGCCTAGGGAAAGTGAGAGGGGAAACAGGAGGGCAGATATGATCAAGATACCTTGAACCTATGTATAAAACATTCAAATAAACATAAAAGCAACGAGCCTGAAAGTCTGTGTTCAGCCTACTTTCTCCTTTTTATATAGTCTAGGAGTCCAGTCTAGGGAATGGTGCCACTCACCATAGGTGGATTTCCCCACCACAATTGGCCTAATCAAGATAATACCTCACAGGCAGGTCAAGGGGGCCACCTGCCAGATGATTATATATCCCATCAAGGTGACAGCGAGATTACCCATCATGAGTGGTGAAGCCATGCCTACTTCTGTGGGGTAAGGATTTGGGCTGGGTGTAAACACATAGGCATGGAGCCACGTTGGACTAGTGTGAAGCGATTGGTGGAAACCCCTTCAGCTCCGCTGAACAGCAAAATCTAATCATGAGAATGGAAGTCTTTCATATTACCGACCCTTTTCCAACTCCACAGGAGAAATTACAGAGGTCAAACCAAGGGGCAGAATCCTGGGACCATATTAAAATTCCTTTTACATGTCCCTGCACTGTTCATTGCTTCAGAATGGTCCTGATGAACTCCAATCCTTTGCACTTCCATTCTAAATGCTAGAATCCCAGGTTGTTAAAATTTTACAGATATCTTGTCAGAATACTCAGTGTTACTGTTTGAGAAATGACGTCCCGGCTACACTGAGATTTCCTACACGTCGCACAGGTTGTCCATGTACTAAGGTTGTCTTTAATTTCTCTCAGAAGTATTTTTAGTTAATAGTGTACCGATATTCACAATATTTCCTGGATCTTTCTATGTATTTGATGTTTTTGGAAGCTACTGTACATTACTATGTTTTGTGTATTCTTTGTTGCTACTTTATAAAAACACAAGTTTTAAATAGTGGCCTTGCTTCGTGTACCTTTACTAAATTTGATTACTAGTTTTAGGAGCAACTATTTTTAAAATTGTTTTGGATGTGTGTGTGTGTATCCAAAGTAACAAAACTCTTTTATGAACTACATGTTTTTGTTCTGTTATTTAAGTCCTCGGCACAAAGTTGAACAGAAGTAATTTCAGTGAAAGCCTTTATCATTTTCTCTGCTGCAGAGAAAACATTCAATTTCTCAACAGTGAAGTTTGACATTAGCTGCAGTTTTTCTTAGATTTTTTTTTACAAGTTGAGTAAAATTTCATAGAATTTTACTTGGAAGATAAACACATTTACTGTAAGTGATAATATTTTTTAGATGATTTTGTTGCATCCCTTGAGACAACTAGCCTAAGATTTTCTTCTTATTCTGTCATTCAGTGACCTATTAATTGATCTTGAATGTCAAACAAACAACCCATGGCTGGTTATCTTAAGTTATAGACATATGTTGCTGGATTCCACTTACTGATGTTCTGTTCAAGATTAGGGTTTTATTTTATCTCTATTCATAAAGTATACTCATCTGTAAGTTCATTTCCTCAAGTGATGTGGG